ATCAGCTACAATAAATCAAAAAATCAGCCGGGCATGGTAGCACGCGCCTGTAATTCCGGCTACTGGGAAGGCTGAGGCAGAAGGATCGCCGGAGCCCAGCAGGTGGAGGCTGCGGTGGCCGGGAGTGGCCACTGCACTCCAGTCTGGGCGACAGAGTAAGACTCCAACTTAAAAACAAAACAAAACAAAACAAAACAAAAAACAAAAAAACAAAACGTCAAAAAAAATTAGCCAGGTCCGGTGACACACACTGGTAGTTACAGCTACTGGGAAGCTGAGGTAGAAGGATCACTCCTGAGTACAGGAAATCTAGGTTGCAGTGAGCCATGACCAAGCCACTGCATTCCAGCCTGGACGACAGAGTGAGAAAAAAATAAAAATAAAAACAAACAAACCAAAAGAAAACATAGTATTTGTTTTACATTTTCACCCACTCTGCCACAGCAGGGTGAAAGCCCAAATCCCCCTAGTTTAGGCATACTGATTAGCCCAGCCAACTATCAGGATGACACAGCTGACCATTTTTTTACTCTTGGTTGACTTAATTCACTTAAAATTGACTGTGCTATAAATATTAAATGAATAAAGAACTGGTTTCCCCTGCATTTGAATATGAAATCCATGTCTACTTTTTTGGCTTTTTTTTTTTTTTTTTTTTTGAGTTGGAATCTCACTCTGTCACCCAGACTGGAGTGCAGTGGCCGCTCCTGGTCACCGCAGCCTCGACCTGCTGGGTTCCGGCGATCCTTCCACCTCAGCCTTCCAAGTAGCTGGAACTACAGGCGCGCTACCACACCGGCTCATTTTTTATTTATTGTAGAGATGAGGTCTCGCCAAGTTGCCCAGGTGGGCCTCGAACCCTCAGGCTCAGGCAATCCACTCACCTCAGCCTCCCAAAGGCACGGGATTACAGGCTGAGCCACCGAGCCCGGCTACTTTTTTCTTTTTTATTGAGTTGGAGTCTCGCTCTGTCACCCAGCTGGAGTGCAGTGGCACACTCACGGCCACTGCAGCCTCGACCTGCTGGGTTCAGACGATCATTCCACTTCAGTCTTCCAAGTAGCTAGAACTACAGGCACGTTACCTGGCTAATTTTTTTATTTACTTGAGTCTCACCAAGTTGCCCGGGCTGGTCTCATACCTGTGGGCTCAGGCATTCCTCTCGTCTCTGCCCCCCAACATGCTGGGATTACAGGCATGAGCCACCATGCCCAGCAAAATCCATGTCTAATTTATATTAAAGATAAAGATATCATTCACTAAGAAACATTTCATTGTGTAGCAAAATTAATTCATAAGTTAATTTTCTTTCTTTTCTTTTTTTTAGAGACAAAGTCTCAATCTGTCATGCAGGTTAGAGTATAGTGGTGTGCTACAGCCCTGACTTCCTGGGCAACAAAAGGCCTGTCTCAGTCTCTTGAATAGCTGGAAATACAGGCACACACCACCACACTGGCTAATTTTTTAAAAAGTTTTTGTAGAGACAGGGGTCTCCCTTTGTTGCTTTGGTTGGTCTCAAATCCCTGGCATTAAGTGATCTTTCTACCTTCTCTCAAAGCATTGGGATTTACAGGCATAAGCCAACACACACAGTCATAAGCTTTCCCAAAAAATATACTTTTTTATGTAAGCATTTTTGAAAAGTTTTCCTAAAATACACCTGCCATCCTCCTGCCACCCTGCAGCAAGTGGGAAGCCGTGAATCTACACAGTACCTGCAAAGCCATGGCAATCTGTACAAACCACTCTACCACCTGACTTTCGGGCAAAAGCTGCCCTTTCTGCTCCTTGAGCTTTCGGTACAGATCACCTCCTTCGCAGAAGCCCATGACAATATAGAGTAGACCATCTCCGCCCTCCCATGACTCCTTGTAGGTGACAATGTTGGGATGCTTCAGCTGAGATAAGAGTTGGGCTTCCTGTTCAGCAGCTCGCCGTTCTCGGCTGGAGACATTTCGAAGGTTCAGTTTTTTTATGACATACTACAAAGAAAACATGTATTTTTACAATGTGCAAATAAACACACAGTTTTGTAGCTTCAGAATTATTCAATGGCTCTCAAGATAATCCTCAAAATCAATCTTCTGAAGCCTGTCAGATAACCTATTCATTTTATTTTTCATGAAGCACAAAATTGGGGAAAATATCTACTATTACTAATGATACTTTTTACAACTTAGACTTATATCAGTGGGGCAGTCACAAAACAATATCCTTTCCATATGTACTTGATATTTTCATTCATGGCTAGAAAAGTGGGTGCGGGCCATTTGCCTTGCTAGACTCTGGTATGGCCATGTGCTCTTTAAGCTATGGCTATCGCCATGCTTCCTGGCTTTGGCCCCCTCCCCGACCTTGGGGAGGTGAATCTTCTTTCTCCCTTCTCTCTCTAATTTACTTTTAAATAAACATTTCTTTCTAAGAAAAGAAAAGTGAGTGCAAGATAACATACCATTGCATCAATCATAAAATCTACTAGATATTTCTTAACCTCTAAGTTCTCCCATAAAGGTATACAAAATATGACTTAAACACATTTGGAGATAAAATGAGTCCTTGGATTACATTAGATACTCAAAGAGATCCATGGCCCAATAAGTGTAATAATCACTGATCCTCAACATACAAAATTATTCCCACTTTAAAAAAAATCAGTGCCCTCTAACACCTAATACATTGCCTTCAATCAAAGATCATATTCATTTCAACAAACACATACATAATGTGCTTTGTAAAATATAAACTACAGAACAAATGTGAGAGGCTATTATTGTAGTTAGTTCCCCATCCTCAGCTCAGAGCTTGTATTCCAAGCAGAGCAACCAGCACTGAAGACAAGGAAGAATAGGCAAGAGGGTCCTATATTTGGGGGGGACATCGCCTCTCTGCTTGCCTGGAACAGTCAGGTTGTCCTGGTGTAACTATTAATAGCACCTCCTTTAGTTTCAGAATTGTCCCAGTTTGTACAATACATTATATGGTCACCCTATTAATAAACCACATTGAAGAACTAGTGGCTCATTATCCTGAGGATGATGGGATAAAGGGCTTTAAGCAAAGGAGTGACGTCTCAGTCAAATTTTAGGAAGATCACCGAGGCTACAACGAAAGTGATGGACTGGAGAAGAGTAAGTCAGGTGGTGGGGATCAGCAGGGAAACCATGGCCACAGCTTAGCTAGAGATAATGGTGTCCTGGATTGGGTGCTACCAGCAGAGATGAAGAGGAGGCCTGTTGGCTTAGTGACAGATTAATAATCAGTGTTGGGGTGTAGGCTTAAAAATGATTCGTAAGTGTCTATGTTGGTCAACTCACTACTGAGGTTTGGCGGAAAGAAAAGGAGCTGAGTTTTAAGTGAGTCCGGCTATCGACAGCAGAGATGTTTGGGGCCCTTCATTATTCAAGGATTAATGCTTGCTAGGCGCTGGGTTAGGTCCCGAGAATGCATGATTTCTGCAATCATGGAATTGTCGGGGGTAGGAGAGGCGTGTAGATCACGCACGCCAATTAATACAAAAAAGGAGAAGTAAAGGAAGTTTGGGGCGCATATGACCGGGGGCCTGGCCTAGTCTTGGTGGTCTAGGACGACTTTGAGAAATGCCGTCCGAGATGAGCCTCCTCGGACCACCCTGGGCCTAGTCCACGGTGCCCCCGGCGCACCTCAGCCCGTCCCCCACCCACTGCCGGGCCCCAACCCATCCGACCTGCCGGCCGTCCCGCCGGTGCTTCACGAGCGTCACCTCCCCGTAGCTGCCTTTGCCCACGACCCGCAGGTAGCAGTAGGCGGCCAGGGGCATGTTCCCAGTCTGGCCCAAAGTCGGGATGCGGCGACAGCAGCAGCCCGCAGCAGGAGGCCCCGCTCATGCCCTAGAGGCTGCGGAGCGAGCTGTTGTTGAAGCAATCAGGCCCGGGCAGGAGCGCGGGAACCCGACCCACTGCGACGCCGCTGCCATAGCGATGTGGGCCGGAGCAGTCGCGCGCATGCTCTGGCGTCCCCGGAGGACCCGGCATAGAGCGGGTGCCGAGAGCGGCGAGAGCGGTTCCCGGACATCCGGAGGACCCGCCATAGAGCCGAGGCTCGGCGGCCAGAGCGGCTCTTCCGGGCTCTTCGCGCGCGACCTCTACGTAGTTCCACCACCCGGATGCCGGCGCCGGTAAGGTCGAGGCGGATTTCACTTATCGTGCGCTCTTTTGTTCTAAGCCTGACACAAGAATCGTTCGTTCATTCTGCAAATGTATATTGACCACCTTCCCCCCCATGTGCAAAGTCCTTGCCCTTCTGGCGCCCACATTTTAATGAGGAGGTGACAGACTCTAGACTCTACCGGTAACATTTGTTGTATTTGCTTTATCACATACCTGTCTGCACCCAGGAATCCATCTTAATTTTTAAATGCATTTCAGAGCCAGTTGAAGGGCTTTGTACATTTCATTTCTTAAAAACTTTAGCCTGTTTATTGAGAACTGCAGAGAACTCTTAGCATATAACGACTGCCCAAGCCACTGTATTAAAATATTTGACCAAACTCCAGCATGGCTTCTAACAGCTTAAGGACTCATCCATGGGGAAACAGAAGCTCCCTTTAAAACGCCTACCTGAGAAAGCTCAGAGCTACCAAAATAACTTACCGTTTGTTCCAGCCAACACCTCCCTTTGCTAGAGCATTTGTTAATAAAGCTTACAATTAATCTTTCCTCTGTCCATTTGAGATATATACACATCTTCTACAACCTAGGAATGTGAAAGGGTGAAAAGCCAAAATGTAGTAACTTAAGTCGGAGTGGTAGCCATTTTAACATGCTTTTTCAGCAGCTTATTTCAACCCACCTTGTAATCATTAAACAAGAAACAAAACCAGTTTCCCAAATGTAGTTGCTGATAATTGTCTTGCAACTCCCCAAGCATGCTTTGTACTAATTACCCCAGTATTAGTTCTTCCGCCATAAAGGGTCAAGCTTATCTAATCTATTGTGATCAGCCCTTCATGTCCTAGTGACACAGACCATGGCTCCCTGGAGTCATGAGATGCATTGTCTTGGCACCCGTACCTGTGTTATCAATAGTCAAGAATGCAGTTGCTGAAGACATCCTTCTCTCTTCCTTAAAAAAAACCTTAAATAGTCCAATTACTCTTATTAAACACCATGCTACCCTCAGCATTGGTCCTCTTTTTCTCTCTTGAAAGATGAATAAATCTTTTTGCTTGCCTATCGCAAATCTTTGCCCCCCCCCCCCACCAGCTCTGGCCAACCAACCTAACAGAATGTCTATCTCAAGGACCTAAAATCTGTTCCCTTTGAAATGCAATCATCAGAAAGGGTAGGGCCTCTGTCTCCCAGTCTCTGTGGGAGAATAGAATCCTAACATCCCAGCTAGCAGACACAGTTGGCCCAGCTACATTTACACTGACAAACCCTTTTAATTTTTCATGTTTCACTGACTCTATGTGAGCCCCTTGCTCACTCCCTCATTTTCCCTTTGAAATGCCCAGTTACCTCAGCACAAATCAGAATGGAGTTCAGTTTTTTCTGCTACTGTCAGTAGTTACTGAATAAAATCTATTTTGGTTTCTTAAACTAATGCCTGGCTTTGTTTATCTTTGATAATATCATTAACTAGAGTTCAATATTTATTTACAGTTCTTTTTGTTTAGTTTTCCAGTGAAGATGAGATTTGCATTGAGTGAAGTATACAAATCTTAAAGGTATCATTAGATAAGTTCAACAAATTTGTACACTCAAATCTATCAAGCTATAGATCAAGGATTTGGAAAAATTGATCCCTTGTGTATTGTTAATGGAAATGTAAAATTGTTAGCTTGCCACAAAAAATGGTATGGTGGTTACTCAAAAAATTAAACTCAAATTACCATAGCAATTTCACTTCTGGGTATATATCCAAAAGAATTGAAAGAAAGCAGAGTTTCATCATTTTAAAAGTTCAGTCTGCCCTAGACCTTTACTGTTTACCACACTTGCAGGTCCTGAGTGGTCTGGCTCAGGACGTGCTGACACTCTATCTCCCCTAGCCCATGGCCACTCTGGGTTTCTTGGCCAACTTATCCTCTTCATTTGACCAGATATTTATACATCCATGTTCATAGCAGCATTATTCATAATAGCCAAAAGATAAAAGCAACCCATGTGTCCACTGCTGCTTCAACACCATAAACCCAGTAGGTGTGAACAAAGGAATTAGGGGTTGATGAATGAATGAGTGAAAAAGTACCTGCCCACGTGGATTTGGAAAAAGCTCTATGGTTGAAGCCAAGAAACCCAGAGTGGCTATGGGCTAGGGGAGATAGAGTGTCAGCATGTCCTGAGCCAGACCACTCAGGACCTGGAAGTGTGGTAAACAGTAAAGGTCTAGGGCAGACTGAACTTTTAAAATGATGACTCTGGCTGCTGCCAGGAATGGGGACTGAAGGAACAGATGGAAGTAGGGGATCTGCCCTCCAGGAGAGATCGGGGCAGCTTGGGCTAGATGGCAACTAAGGATTGGGAGAGAAATGAATAGATGAGAGAGCTATATCCCAGATGCCACCCAGTTTTCTAGCTTGGATGGCCAGCCAGACGGTGGTGGCCTTCAGTAAAGTGGACAACGACAGGAAGAACAGACTTCGTAGTAGGGTATGGGAAGGGTAGCAAAGGTCAGGACTTCCATCTGGACAACCAGCTTGAGGGGCTCTGGGCAGGTCAAGCAGGCAGTTGGCCATGTAAGTGGAGCTCAGAGTAGGTCTGGGCCCATGTGCTGGCCTGCAGGCACCAGCAGCACCCCACCCTCCCAAGTCCCCAAGCTCAATCCTCAGCAACCAAGGTTGCTTTCTGTCTACCCCCACCCTCACCTCCCACATTCACTGGGTGAGTCAACTTACCTCTTCATTTGTACTACAGGGACAATAATAGTATCTAGCTCTTGGGAACAGTTGTGAACAGTATGTGAACTAGGGCACAAAAAATGCTGAGCAACAGCCGAGCGCAATGGCTCATACCTGTAATCCCAGAACTTTGGGAAGCCAAGGAGGGAGGATCACCTGAAATCAGAGCTTGGAGACTAACCTAGGCAACAAAGTGAGACCTCGCCTCTTAAAAAATAAGTACATAAATAGACTGCGCGTGATGGCTCACACCTATAATCCTAACACTCTGGGAACCTGAGGCGGGTGGATTGCCTGAGCCCAGAAGTTTGAGATCAGCCTTGGCAACATAGTGAGACTTCACCTCCACAAAACTTAAAAAAAAAAAATTAGCCAGGTGCGATGGCATGCATCTGTAGTCCTAGCTACTCAGGAGACTAAGACAGAAGGACCACTTGAGCCCAGTAGTGAACCATGATCTGTGCCCAGCCTAGGCAACAGAGTGAGACCCCAACTCAAATGAATACATACATACATACATAGATTAGCCAAGTGTGGTGGCTTGTGCCTGTTGTCCCGGTTACTAAGGAGGCTGAAGTGGGAGTTTAAGGCTGCAGTGAGTCATGACCGATGTACCCCAGCCTGGGTGACAGGGTGAGACCCTGTTTCTCAAAAAAAGATACTGAGAAGCCTGCCAAGCACTAGTCACTATTCGCTCTCTATTCCGCTCTATTCTCCCCCCATGCAGAGATGTTTCTAGGACCTTCCGTGGACAAGGGTTGGTGCTAGTCATCTCTCTACAGGCCAGTGTTCAACTTGTCACACCTTTGTGCAAGATATCTTCACTATCTACCACCCAAGTGTTGGCCACTTTTAGACTCTTGCACCAGCTGCTCCCAATCTCCTTCTCACCCACCTTCCCCGCCCTCTTCCTCACCCTGAAACTCCTCCCTTCCCAAGCATGCTTCCTACTTACCCACTAACTGTTCTTTCCCTCCATTCCCTCATTTTACTTCCTGAGAGCTGCTCTTTTCTCCACACCCCCTCTCCCCCCACCCTCACATGTCTACAGTTCTTTCTTAAAGTTCCTCTTCTGGGCTCCATTGGACTTGTCTGACTTCATTCTCCCAAAGTATCAGCTCCCTGAACACAGCAAGGCACCCAAGTTTCTTCATGGTGGTGTCCCAGTGCCTAACATTGTACCCAACATGCCACAGGGCTTGATTGATACTGTGCAGGAAATAAACAGAACCTCAAAAGTAAAGTTTCATGTAAATCCATCTCATATTCCCAGCAAACAGGCCAGAGTTCCTGACTTAGGGACAACAAACTCTTTCCCAAAAACTGCCCTGTGAGACAAAGTCCAGGACAAGCAAACAGAGGTCAGTGAGATCTCTGGGCCCCTTCATCCTATCAGGGTCATGGCAGCCAGCACATCCCAGCCCTGGCCAGACTGGACTAGGGTCCCTGTCTGCCCAGTCTGCTATGGTTTGTGTGGGACAGGAAGGGTTTGAGCATAAAAATTAAGAAACTGCATGTACAAGATGAGGACTCTTCTCTCTAGAATCTATGACTTAGCTTCTCTCTCATTGCATGATGGGCTTGGGCCTTGGAGTCTGGGAGATCTGAGTTTGAACGCGTTCTATCACTTGCTGTGGGACCAGTGTCCCAGGGATATCACAAGGATCAAATTAGACAATAAAGGGCTTAGAGCAACACGTGACACACAGTCAGCCCTCAATTATGAAAAGGTGCCACTCGTCTTCATTCCCCTTCACCTGCCAGGCATCCAGCCCAGGCGAAGACCAACGAAGCTTCCTTCTATTCTTCTTTCCAAATCTGAGTAGGACGCTCCAGAGAGATGAAGCAATTACCCTAAGGATGGGTCACCCATTACGCCTCCCGCTGACTGCCCAGACTGCCTTTGACAGAGCTATTGCCAGGTTGGCACTATGAAAATTGTGAGCATAAACATCAAGGTGCTTTTTGAGCCACCGTATCTGCCTCCCTGGGCAAAGCATGGCCAAAATGGTTGATACTTTAAGAATGTTTAAAGTAAAGCCTAAGGTAGTTTAAAACCTGTTTTTAACTGTGGTTTCTTGTCACATGTCACTGGTGCCACTGGCTGTTCTTCCCCTCGCTTCCCACCTCCTGCTTCCTGAGAGCTGCTCTTTTCTCCAGTCCCAGTGGGAGTTGAGTACTCCCCCCCTCCACATGTCTACAGTTCTTCCTTAATGTTTCTCTTCAGCCTCCTGCCATCCTGGGAGTCACTGGGCTCCACTGAACTTGTCTGACTTCCTTTATCCAAGGCATCAGCTCCCTGAACATAGCAAGGCCCTCATGTTTCTTCATGGTGTTCATCCCCAGGATGAGATGACCCCTTGAGGGTGTCCAATTCACTCAGGTTGAGTACAGTTCTATACTGGGGGACACAGTCTGGAACCCAGTTGAGAGTTTAGACAACCCAGAGCTGGGAGCCTCCCAAGCCAAAAGCTTTCAGTGCCAGATTGATTCCTCCAACTGTAATATTTGCACCCACATTGTCTAATGTTTAATCCATGTTTATCCAGCACTGTATTGATTAGGTCTTAGTAAAGTGACAGGGCAGTGGGAGCCCTGAGACTATGGATGGTGCCATGGGGCTGCGGTTGCTGCTGTGTGCATACTTGGTGTCTCTGCTTGCCCTGCAGGCCGAGCCCGCTCCAGACCCGACTACAGGCAGGTCCAAGGGCAGCGAGGTATGTGGCCAAGCCCTGATGGGGCCTGGGAGGACCACAAAACCCCCTCTCCAGGGGCCAGGGGTGCCCCCACCACCTCTACCACTTCTGACTGGAGAGGTGACATCTCAGCAGCACCAGGGAAGTGAGGTGGGAAGGGCAGAAGACACAGGCTGTGTTCTACCCCCACCCGTAAACAGGTAGGCCATGGTCCCCTGAGTGTCCCCACTCACACTTGTCCCTGGTTTTGTTTTGCAGAAGCGACAGGCTGTGGACACAGTGAGTCAGAGTCCTGGCAGAGGGGTCTGTGAGAGAACCCTTATTATAGGTTTGCTTGCCCCAATTCCTCAGGGGTATGCCCCTCTGTCAGTGCCATAGGCAGAGGGGACTACCATCTCCTGGAAATGAGAACTGGTTCCTACCTCACCTCATGCCCCATGGCAAAATCTCAGGCAGAGAGAGGGGGGTCTTCTTGGGAGGTCTGGTCTGTTCTTCCAGCATCTGGGCACCTTGCACCAGAGCAGGGTGCTGAGCTCCAAAAATGGCAAGGAGATCTCTTACTGACAGAGGCTCCTGTCCCAAGCCACAGCCCCTTCACGTTTCATTTAGACTGTCAACAACGTGTTCATCCGGAGTTTGAAAGTCAACTGCAAAGTCACCTCTCGCTTCGCCCACTATGTCATCACCAGCGAAATGGTCAACACTGCTGATGAAGCCAGGGAAGTGGCCTTCGATGTGGAAATCCCCAAGACAGCTTTCATCAGTGACTTTGCCATGTGTGTGCCCTACCTGCCTCCCACGTACTCTCCCAGTGGTGTCCCCTCATCAATTCCCAGGCTAAGACCATGACTCAGAGCAGCCAGACAGTACAGAGCATGTCCTCATTGCCAAAAGGTCCTGGGCTAGCCCCTGCTCTGAGGGAAGGAAGAAGACCTTTAGGTCCGTTTTCAGCTCCTAACTTGGAGAGCCAACTGAGACCTCTGATAGGATGTTTCAGACTAGAACCCAAGAGCCAAGGCTAGCATTTGAGGCTTCTTGCTGGCCACCATGAACCCAAGAGCCAAGGCTAGCATTTGAGGCTTCTTGCTGGCCACCATGACTGGAGCTGCCCACCTCACTGCCTATGGGCCCCTGAACCCCACTGTGGCTAGTGGAAGGGCAGGCAAGAGATGCCTTCCTACAGGGGCTCACATGGACAGGGTCCTCTCAGGATTGAGGCTCGGTGCACCTCCAGTACAAAGGACCCATGTAGTCCAGGATGTGGACCTCTCCTGAGGGTGTTTGTTCTTCCTTTCCTGTAGCACATCAAATGAAAATACATTTGTTGGGGACATAAAAGACAAAGTGACTGCTTGGAAGCAGTACCGGAAAGCAGCCATCTCAGGAGAGAATGCTGGCCTTGTCAGGTAAGCTCTGGGCCCCTCTGGCCTAGTCTCTAGCCAGGACAGGTCTGAGGGCTGCAAGGTGGCCTTGGTAGAGAACAGCCTCAGGATGTTGGAAGAATGAGCACACTGCCCAAACTCAGATGCTGGCACAGTGCGCTGGCTGGGCTGGGGTTCAATCTCCCTTTTCCCAGATCTGCCTTGGAGAGAAGTGAGCCCCCATCCTTCGGCCCCATCTCTGAATGACCAGCTGGGACAAGGGTGAAAGTCAAGGAAGACTGGGAAGAGCACTCATATCAGAAAGGTGAATTCTGAGGGCCATGCTTTAGAGAACAAGGACCCTCATGTCATTTGCCCTTTGTCTGTCTGTTGTTGCTTCCGGTGGCATATCCAGGGCCTCGGGGAGAACTATGGAGCAATTCACCATCCATATCTCCATCAGTCCCCGGAGCAAGGTCAAATTTCAACTGACCTATGAGGAGGTGCTGAAGCGAAGCCTTAAGCAGTACGACATTGTCATCAAAGTCAAGCCCAAGCAGCTAGTGCATCATTTTGAGGTAGATCACAGGACCCAGGCAGGGTTCCTGATTCTCTGTTCTTCACCACAGCTCCTAATGCTGGCTCAGTACCACCATGTATCAGTCAGACCCGAGAACGGGACTGGCTCTTCAGGGTAGCTCTGATGGGTGATTCTTGGGCAGGGATTTCTCCCTCCAACTTCCTTCTCATGGGTCTCAGTTTGCTCATCTGCTAAATGGGGGATTCCTGCGGGTCCTAGGACTGCCACAAGGATCCCAAGAGATATTGAATGTCCAAGTAATTTGTAAACCAGAAGGTCCTGGGCCACCTGAAGAACTGGAATTATTGCTGGCACCTAAGTAGTGACTGAGTGGAGGGATGCAAGTGTGCACACCTTCGTTTGGTAAATATTTTTTAGTACCTACTTTGTGCCAGGCCCTGCACTAAGGGCTGAGTGGGCGCTGCACACAGTAGGTAGCCAGAACACATGTTGACTTTTGGCTGAGACTTTCTGCTGACCCAAATGGGAGTCCTGGTACAGAATTTGCTACAATGTGATACACACTTGTAGTCCCAGCTATTTGGGATACTGAGGCAGGAGGATCACTTGAGCCCAGTAGTTTGAGGCCAGCATGGGTAACATAGCAAGACCTTGTTTTTTTGTTTTTTAAAAGAGAATTTGTTTCCATGGTGCAGATTGATGTGGACATCTTTGAGCCCCAGGGGATCAGCAAACTGGATGCCCAGGCCTCCTTCCTACCCAGGGAACTGGCAGCCCAAACTATCAAGAAGTCCTTCTCAGGGAAAAAGGTATGTGGGATGGCAGGGGTGGTGGTATGCCCTCTGGAGACTTCTCAGCCTGGCCTACCCCTTATGGAATGCCCAGGCTTAGCCCAGGAACCAGGGAGGGGCTGCAGCCTGTCTTCAGGAAGACAGGCAGTTGCCACAAGGTTGGTACCCCAGGGGAACTCAGCATTGTGATTCTTGGAGTCTGAAAGCCAGCATACTGAGATGGGGAAGGTGCCAGCTCTGGCTCCACCACACATTGGCTGCATGGTCCAGGGAGAGTCCTGACTTGCCTCAGTTTCCTCTTTGTCTGCATCACACCCACAGGAAAGCATTCAGGGAAATGTCCAGCACATAAGCCAGCCTCAGATACTGCTGTGGTTAGGGCTCCAAGCTCCCATCTTCTTGGAAACATAATTAAGCTTGGAAACATTTTGGTCTACCCCAATGACTTGTCACTTGGCACCCACTTGCAGGAATTCCAGAAGCCCTCTACTTGCCCCAATCCCAGGCTCCTGGAGTAGTGTGGCCTGTGGGTAGGTGGCCAAGTAAGTGACCTGCTTTCTGACTTGCCCTCAACCCAAGCCAGAAACAAATCCTTTAGTTCCACATCCCTAACGTAGTGATTCCATAACAATCCATTTTTTACGGTGTAAGGAGGATCCTTTTAAATAAAATATGTAGGCTGGGCTCAGTGGCTCAGCCTGAAATCCCAGCACTTTGGAAGGCCGAGGCAAGAGAATTGCCTGAGCCTGCGGGTTTGAGACCCACCCAGGCAACTTGGTGAGACCTCATCTCTACAATAAGTCAAAAATTAGGTGGGCGTGATAGCGTGTGCCTGTAGTTCCAGCTACTTGGAAGGATCGTAGGAGCCCAGCAGGTCGAGGTTGCAGTGGCTGGGAGCGTGCCACTGCCCTCTAGCCTGGGTGACAGAGTGAGATTCCAACTCAAAAATAAATAAATAAATAAACAAAATGTGATATTGCTTGCCTTCTATGGGGAACCGAAAGAATGGGTCCTTGTCTTCCTAACAATTTATTTTCTTTCTCTCTCTCTCCCTCTTTTTTTTTTTTTTTTTTTGAGTTGAGGTCTCACTCTGTTGCCCAAACTGGTGTGCAGTGGCACAATCACAGCTCACTGCAGCCTCAAACTCTTGGGCTCAAGTAATCCTTCCGTCTCAGTCTCTTGAGTAGCTGGGACAGCAAGCATGCACCACCAAGCCCGGCTAATTCTTTGATTTTTTTTTTTTTCCTGTAGGGACACGGTCTCACTCTGTTGTCCAGGCTTGTCTTGAACTCTTGGGCTCAAGCAATTTTCCTGCTTCAGCCTCCCAAAGTGAGGGGATTACAGGTGTGAACCACCACATCCAGTCTTTTTCTTTCTTTTTTTTTTTTTTTTTT